GATAGAAAATGCAAAAAACATCCTATTTTGTACAGATGCACATTAAAGCTACATTACGGCTATGCTCTCATGAGCCATTCAAATTTGAAGCGCACGTTCGACGAGGGAGCAGCACCTCATATCTAAACTACCCATACATTCCATTTTAACAAAAGCACCAATACGGTGCTGGGCCTTAATCCACTTCGCACAATGGTGCTGTTCAGATAGATCATCCAAAAATAGGCTCATTTACGTATTGCTGCACGACAAGACTCTAAGATAGTCGGATCGCAGCCATAAACAAAGAGCACATAAGAGAAGTAGTCATACTGCCTTGTGCCGCTTGATGAACAAGGCAACACGTGATGCGGTGATTGACAAGGCCAACCCAGAAGGACTATTACTTATGTCTGTTAAAGTAAGAAGGATAATCGTTTCTTGGAAACTGATAAGGGCTCGATATCGAACTTTAGCGTTGATGTCCTGACGCCGTTGTCGTTTACCTGACACACCAACGCTTTTTATCCTTATAGTGAATGAACAGAGTCGCCCAGTGCGCTTCCCACCGGCGAGTAAATCCCGGCTTGTGACAAGCTCAAGATTTAGTAAGTAACGCAGTGATAATGTTAAGTGGGGCTGTTTGCAGCCAGAACTAGAGGTGGCGAGCAATCAACCCAAAAATTAGGTTGTGTATTGCTTTCTGCGCAGTAATTTTTCAAACTACGCTATTGCGAACGTCTGCTTCACGGAAGATGGCTTGTAAAGCTGTGAGATGGATGAGACAACGTGTCGTCCTCACCTGGTGCGCAAGTTGAGCGCGATAATTTTTATTCATTTAATATCCAACTTACCCTCCTTATAATCTTTACGATCGCAGTGCACAATGCGCATGCGACATTCCAAAGTGTCTTGATCTGTAGATTTGGAGAGCGCTCACGAGTCATCTTTCGGGTGGTTGCTTTGCTGTTGGATCTAGAGGTTCATAGGAAACCTCGCCATGATGTGGCGAGTATCATCAGAAGAATCACATACATGACCACAATGTGATCGAGTCCGCAAAAGTTGTTGCGACTCTCGTGCCTGCAGCAGGAGTCGCGAAGCCATGTTCAGAACATTGGGGGTGAGATAGACGTCTGTGGTTTCCGCGGTGGGGTATCGCAGTGTTTCCGTCGTATGGAACGGACACAAAGTGTGCAATTCGTGCAGAACGTGAGCTACAGTGTGGTTTTCTACCGTGCAATATACCGGTATTGATACCGGTAAAGCTGAACTTCCAATTTTCAGTAACATCTAACGCTCATGTCCAGTGTCGTGGAAGCTTTCGTTTACTCATATGACATCAAGAATGCCAAACAATGGCGTGATGAGGATATGCTGCACCGTGAACAGCAAAAGCAGTGGCGTGAAGACTCCATTCAGCGACAACATGAGTGGCGACGTGCTGATCTAAAGCACATACGGCGTGTGCTAAAACTCGAGTCGGAGAAGCGGCTGATCAATGCACGCCTTCAGCAGTTGCGAACTATCTCACAACTATCAGCTATAATGGCATTTTTCTCCATCATGTTTTTACAAGAAACAAAATCGCTGCGGCATGACACAAGTAAAGTGCTTATACTATTGTACGGAACAGTAGGCGCGCTCGACTTTCTGTGTATGTTGCTCTGTAGCTTGACATGCACACTACTGCTACTTGCACTCACAAGGTTTGTAACGCACACATTGGATGGAGAAGTACATCGACTCTCAGGTTACGAGCTAGACACAATATCCCCATCGACTGACTGGTGGACTAATAAATGCGAGCAAGAGTGGCTGCTGGCCTATCGATTGTTTCGGACAGGTGCATCCATCTTTTTAGTAGCCGTGGGCTTGGCCAGCTGGATTGTATTCGTCAGATCGACCATTGCAGCAATCATAATCTCGGTGCTTTGTTCTTGCGGTCTTCTTTACTATAATTTGCGGATCGCTAGTCGGTGGAGATATCTCGTCAAACCTCCCAAGAGCAGACACACTAGTGTACCCTTGCCGTAGACAACAAGTTGAACAACGTTTTGACCTGGAATCCGATTTCTCGAAATAATGCATAGACCGGATTACTATTCTGTAGAAACTTATATGCACAAACATCAGAGTCTATTTGTTATACTCGGGACCGCAATGATGGGCGCGTGCGCCGCAATTTCGCGCAAGGAACAAGGTGCTACCAAATAGTGACCCTGCCGTAATCGAGCAATCTGCTATAGGACCTGTGACCACTACGGGATGAAGCGAATGACGCAGCGTGTAGAAAGCGAAGCCACCTTGACGACACTTAAGTGAGGCAAACGAGTGAGTAGATGGAAGAGCCTCGACTCGCACCAAAATTTTGCCTGTTCCAGCGTCAATATACGACACCTGCCGCAACTGTAAAGCCTGCTTCGGATCTTTCAGAGCCTTTGCAATCAGCTGTTTTAAAGGCGTGCTCGCTTTCACAAGATGCTGCAAAAGATGTTCGTAGCTCCAAGCACCAACCTCATCCTGGCTGCCAGCGACTGTAGCGCTGGGTTCCCATGGACTAAGAATGTTAGCGTCCTTCAGTTCAGTTTCGTGACCCATCTCTCGAGCAATCATTATAGCCTTTTTAGCGCTCCTTACGCCCATGACATCGTCCACAATGTCGCGCACACTAAATGTCTTCTTGTACTCCATTATGAGATCCCTTATAATCACTTCCAGATCTGCCTCTGCCGGCTCGGACTGAGCCAACACAGCTTCAAATATTGCGTGTAAAAATCGACTTCCCGAATACTCGACCCGCTGAATGTCATCTCCCGTTTGAATGAAATTCTGAAGAGTATTGAAAATGGGGACACCAATCGCTAGTGTCGCCTCTGGATCATACGTCAATTTATTCTGGATTGCCAGCTTTTGCAGTGTACTGTGCTGCTCTTTCGAGACCGATGACACGTTGATGTTGGAAGTCATAACATGAACCTTACGCGCTAGCCATTGGGGATATAGATCTTTCACATGGTGGGAGCTATTGGATACGTCGACAATCAGCCAATGAGGCAAGTGGTCGGCGCACACGTGGTCCAAGAATTGATCTCGGTCGAATGGTACAAATTCGTGTTTTCGAGCGATCAAGGCTTCTTCAGTAATATCACCATCAGTATCCAGCAACATTAGCGCAGACATGTGAGTGCCAATAGCTCGTACACGAATGTCCACGTTAAAGCGCTGCTTTAGGTAGTTGCGTTGCTGATGGTATTGCTTTATCAGTGCTAACCCGATGCTATTGTCTTCATTTTCTTCAAATTCAAGACCAACTAATCCGATCGAAAGCGTTTGGTCCGACAAGAAGAAGGATGAGTGCACAGCGCGCAACGCAGAAGCCGAATCTTTGTAGTGTACGACAGCTGATATATTCCGCTCGGACGATCCTTGTGAAATAGCCAGCACGTTGATCTTTGCACGACCAAGAGCACCGAAAAATCGGGCGCAGACACCAGGGGTTTGGCTCATTAGATCTCCCACAGCAGCAATGATACTGATGGGTGCAATGTATTCTGTCTTATCAATGTGTCCCACGTGAATCTCCTTGAAAAACGTCTCATGAATAACGTCTTTAGCGACCTCAGCACAGTTTAAGGGTACAGCAAAGCAGATCGAGTGCTCGGAACTGGCTTGTGCAATAAGCACTACATTAACTTTGACGCGGTCCAATGCACTGAATAATCGAGATGATGTACCATGTACCCCTACCATTCCACTGCCTTCAATATTGAATAATGCTAGGTCATCAACTGTTGAGAATCCGCTCACAATGTTGCGTGCAGTAGGAGAGCCATTTGACATAGTGCGCGTAAGTTCGACTTTTTTGCGATCGTAAATCTTCGTGCCTGGATGCTTGGGTTCAAAAGTGTTCCGAATGTATATGGGAATATCCTCAACAATAGCAGGCGTCATGGTCTTTGGATGAATGACTTTGGCACCAAAGTACGCTAGCTCCATAGCTTCTTGATAAGAAAGTTCGGGTAGAATCTTCGAATCCGGTACACGTCGTGGATCCGCGCTTAGTACACCGCTCACATCTGTCCAGATAGTGACGCTTCTAGCGTGCAACACGCGACCGCAGATAGAGGCTGTGAAGTCACTGCCGTCACGCTTGAGCGTGGTCATGACGCCATCAATGGTGCTACAAATGAAACCGGTAATGACAACCTGTGTCAGCTCGTCGTTTTCTCCTTTCCGTAAGATTGTATTTATCTTTTGCTCAGATAAATCGTACTGCACGACTGGACCGTGCTCGTTGTCTAGCTCGACCGTTAAAAAGTCTCGAGCGTCTACAAAACAAAAGCCTTTCTTAGATCCGATTTTTGCCATCTTCTGGCTCAGGACAGCTGCAAGGATCTTAGCTGACCAAATTTCACCATGGCCTGAAATAAATTCCACCACGTTATCATTATACGTCTGCATAATGGAGATCGAACGTAGCAGCTCTGATACGGACTGGAGGTCACGTTCAATGGTCTTCTCAATAGGCTCGCCAACCTCTGGAGTCAGTAGTGTACTTACCACATCATGATGTTTTTTCCTAAGCGTGGCTAAAATCTCGTCGCATTCAGCAGTACGCCGCTGTTTGGCCAGCTGAAGCAACGAGATCAGTAGATCCGTGACCTTGGGCTTTCCGCCAATGGCTGACACAACTACTGCTACGCGCGGAGCTTCGAGATCGCATACAATATCTGCGACCTTGGCGAAGCAGTCGGCGCTGCCCACAGACGTGCCGCCGAATTTATGCACCACAAACTTATCTGACGTCATCATCATCGTGGGCCACTTTCAATTAATGATTGACCTAATGAGTTTTTCCTACAATATGATACCTCTGAAATATTATAATAGGGAAGTCTGTGGCTCCACAAGAAAAAGTGACGAAAACCATTAATATGATAAAGCAGCCAGTGAAGAACTCGTCCTTACCAGGTTAACATAAATATATATGATACAAATGACTTTGTCTATGGGCTTGCAGGCGGTGAAGCAACAATTGGACCCATCACTGATGCTGCAGACGATGCAGAAACCTGTGATTCAGGAAATTGCACGAGATATCTCCATCGACTAGCGACGCGTAATTCCAAGTACGCGAGTGCAAGTACGCAAAGCGTTGTCATACATAATGCGGCAGAAATCCATTCACCAAAGACTGCCCATCCAAGCAGCGCCACCTGTGCGAGGAACAAGGACAATCCGCTTCGAAAGAGGTGGTAAGCCATCACCCACTCGGACTCGCACTTACTTAACCACCATCCGTAGAAGGGGGAAACCACATCTAGTTCTAAGGATGACAATGCGTGCACCTCGCCTTCCAGCGTGTGCGTAACGAAACGCGTCAGCGCGAGGAGAAGCGCCATGCATGTCAGCATGCACATCAACATAACAATTAACTACGAACAAAAACAGCAGCCACGTTAGAATACTTATTTAATATATCATTGGCAACGGTAGATCGGCTGTAACCATCGCAGTCTCCATATTCCATACCTCTAAGCAGCACACGGTGCCGTATAAAATGATCACGTGTTCACTAGTGGCATCCGCAATCTGCACTTCAACAATTGTAGACATGGTAAAGCCAGCAAGCAAAGCTGACATTTGCGAAACAATGACAAGCTGTCGATGTCGTGCGTCGATGATACGCTTCTCATTCTCGAGCTTCACAACGCGCCGTTCACGCTGTAAGTCGGCCCTGCGCCACTCGTACTCTCGCTGGATTGAGTCTTCACGCCATTGTTTTTCTTGTTCACGATACCGTAGATCCTCATCGCGCCATTGCTTGGCATTTTTAATATCGTACGAGCTAAAGACAGCGTCCACTACGGCGCCCACTGCCGCCATGATGCTAATAGTCGAATTTGTGAGAAAAAGAGGTTTAATGACGGAAGTTTTTACTAACCGTCTCTTGTCATTGTTTATGCCAGAATCTGATACCATAGTCTAATCCACAAATACCACCTCAGAAATACTTGAATTTGCATCGTGGAATTAAGAAAAAGCGGAAATTTGAGTTCTACATGTTTTCAAATCACGAATTTGAGTGATTTCGGGTATCAAATTGTGCTTCTGAACGAAGATATTCTGTGTCACCTAAATTCAAATCGACTCTTGGTTACGCATTGTGACTCATTCTATAAAATAGGTGCAAGCACCTTGCGCTGTTAATTCAGCTTTTTATGACCTACGCCTATATCTGCACCAAAAAGTTTTCAAATATCTACCAGATGAGTGTGAAAGAAAAGACAGTTATCAGATCTGACCTCGCCTTCAAGTTGGTTATCACCACATGAGTGTCATGAAATGGTGATGATCGGATCCATGTAGTGTCCAGGCAGTCAAAGAACGTTCATTATTCTGCAGTATCGTCAATGATTAGCTCACTGAAGCTTATCAAGATTTACAATGTGCACAGCAAAAACGATTATTAAATGGTCGTCAGAGAAAAATTAATTGCGTTACTTGTCAATCATCTTGAAGAGCGAAGTCAGAACATGGCAAAAACAATGACACGATTCACCACTTCTGCGATAAATATTCATCTACATTGGTCTTATATGCTTGTCAATTGGTACAATTTTCTGCATAGTGAATCAACTCTTGCCCATTTCTGCATGATCTCTGACAGAAAGCGAGAACAAGACGAAAACCGGTAAGCAGTATCATAGGCATCGTGTATCCGCACATGCCTACTAAAGTTAAGATAAATCGTGTCCGGGCCAACCCATCACAGACCCGCAGCCTGAAGAAGGGAATGAGTCGCCGTGCCAGTTCCATTCCTGCCGCCTGACCGTAGCATCACTCCGTTATAGGAGTAAAGGATCGCCGTGATGGCCAAAAAACGTCGCGCGTCCGCGTCTTCTTCAGCCTCGCCTGCTGCTATCGCCATAAGCACCTCACCCTTCCCGTATCCATCTCCAGCTACACCGAGTCGTCCGCGCTGTATTCATTTGCCACAAACGAATCGGCTGCGTTCGGGAGTGGCTGCATGTACGCGCTCGCAAACTAACGTATCGCAGCCGCCAGTGCTTTCGCCCCCACTTAAAAAACGCATGACATCGCGGCGTGTTTCCAAAGCAGTCAAACTCCAGCTCCCAGACGACGATGAAGACGAATATGATGGTCGTCGAATTAGTTCATGCAATATTATAGAGGCAGAAGAAGGGAAGAAGTTACTTATAAAGCCTGATCCGTATCTACCTGAGGACTATCAATGCCGCGCTAGCGTGCTACAACACGCTGAAAACTTTTGCGATGCCATGCTCACACGAGTACGTGACTAGCTTGAATTAAACTAAACTTAACATTACGTAGTATCTATGTCGTTATTGACAGGTAAATATTCACAATAACTACAGCGAGTTTATTGCAATGCAAGCGCTCGAGTTCGACAAGCGATTTTATGTCTGGACTCGTGCAGGCTGCGTCGGACATGAAGGT